AAAAGAAAAGAAAAGAAAAGAAAAGAAGAAAAGAAAAGAAAAGAAAAGAAAAGAAAAGAAAAGAAAAGAAAAGAAAAGAAAAGAAAAGAAAAGAAAAGAAAAGAAAAGAAAAGAAAAGAAAAGAAAAGAAAAGAGAAAAAAGGAAAAAGGGGGAAAACTTATCAGGGTCACTCTGCCAGGCAAATCTCTCCGCCCAGAGCAAGCCAAGATTAATTCCTGGCCCAAATTCGTGCCCCAGCACTAAGCAGGGGCTGATGAAGTGATTTTTCCTGACCTCATGGTGCAAGTCACTGTCAGAGGCAGGGCTGCAGCAGGGCTGGGAAGGCTCCAGCTCTGCCAGAGCCAACCCACCGCACACCCGGCAGGGCCGGTACCTGCCCTCGGCTCCCCGCTGGAAAAACATGCAATTTTCCAAAGGTAGGGGAGGCTTGGGTTACTAGGAACACAAATCATTACGAGTAAAACTGCGTTCCCGTTTTATTGTATTTGTTTTATTTATAATTTTATTACTTATTCCACATTTTCCGTATTTTCCATGTGTTTCACGTCATCCTCGTCCGTCCGGGCCCTTACATGGAAACTTGGGCTCCTCTCCACGGCCCAAGGTGTTGAAGGCTTTACAAACAGCCTTGTTTCGGTGTTTGCTTGGCATGTTCCACCCCGAGAGTGTTTGCCTGGTGAAGTCTGAGTGTTCTCTCACCTGGGAGCAGGACGGGGCGAGGAGGGAAGAAAAGCAACCCTCGAAGTGATAAGTTGTTGAAAATAAAAGCCATCAAATTGTTCAGCTGGAGTTTTTAACAAAGAACAGTTTGAGGCTCCTCCGGTCTGGGTTGTGGTTTTGATCCTGTCAGGGGTTTAAGTTGTCAAAGATGGGGATTTTTCCAGGCACTGCAGTCAACGTGTTGCACGTGCACAGCCAGATTTCCCACCGACCCCAGACCAGAGTTTACTGAGTGCAGAGAAAATGCTCCCAGTGCTGCCAGGTTCCTTCCCTGCTCCACACTTGTGCAAGGTAATACCCTGCATCTGAATGCACAGTGAATTCAGCATTTCCCCCCCTCCTGCACGCACAGACATCTCACACACAGGCGTTTTCCTTCTCGCTCACATCTGACCCCAATCTGTGAGCGAGTCGGGCTCAGCTTTTAGGGTTTGTGTCAGCAGGAACATTGGGTCAGCTTGCAAACAGCCTGGGAAAATCTGGTGCAGCATCTCTAATGCTCTTGACAGGGCCTGCCTGGGCTGAGCCTCGCCGGGGTAACAGTTGTCACTCAGCTCCTGAGCACACTGACACCAGCTCGGCTCCTCCCCGGCAGTCTTGCACCCTCCGTGACACCTTCCTTGCTTCATTCTCATTCAGTGCAATCCCACCACCATGAACCTGAACAATCTCTCAGAAAGGATGCTCAATTCCTGCAAAAAAAAAAAAAACAACCAAAAAAAAAAAAAACAAACCACCACAAAACCTCAAGAAGTTCACTCTTGGTTAAAAAAATTAAAAAGCGACTTTTTAATCCCGGGAGCTCAGACAATGCAGCGTTTGCTGGCAGGGGAGGGGCGAGGAGATTGGATTAAAACATCTGGCAGGGTAATTAGATTGGCTAAAAAGTTTACACTCCCAGCTGCCCCCAGGTAATTGATGGGCCCATGGTGATGTGTCACCCCCAGTCACTGGGCCCTGCAGCCGCCCTCGCCTCGCTGTGCCCTGGGCTCACCCTCAGGCCTGACCTGCCACAGCCCCCCATTAAACCTGCAATTATGGGGTGACTCTTAATAGCGAGGTCTTGCCTGAGAGTGGGGAAAAAATGTTTCTGCGGCTCACATGCGACAATTAAAGATAATTTAAAATGTAAGTAATTGCACAGGGTTTCTGGAAACTACTGTAGGGGTCTTGTCCCAGGCAGCTGGCAGGGGTGGAGGGGGGTATTTTGACAAGTTTTGTGCAGGTTTCCATTAAATGCCAACGAGCAGCTCTATTTTCTTTGGAGTCGTTGGTCAGGAAGTGGAGATTGTGAAAGGTCAGGCCGGGAAGATTCGGGCAGGGATGGAGGTGTTATTCCAGTTCTGATCCATGGGGATCCAGTTCCAATATAAATCCTTCAGTTAGCTGATTGATTCTGGCTTTCTGCAGTCTCTGAGCAGGGGAAAGGTAAGGGCTGATCCACAGGGAAGAGCTTCTGTTGAGTTCCTTTCACTGCTGCAGAGATGCCAGGCAAGGTGAGACTCAAAATCTTAGAATCTCAAAATATCCTGAGCTGGAAGGGACCCACAAGAGTCATTGAGCCCAACTGTCCATCTGCTCTCTGGAATCGTCGAGGAACCTGGGGAGTCTGAGTTGAGAGACCTGGAAACCCCCAAAACTGCACAACACACAGAAATATCACTTTTATTTCCTTTTCCATCGCTGGATTTCTAAATGACATTCAAAAGTTAGAGCTTGTACTTCTGTGTTATAGCTGCATTCAGCTTGTGCTGCTGCATCATAAAATTAAATGTACTTATAAGCAGCTGCAGGATCAGGAGATCTGAGAGATTTACCCTCTGTGTAACTTTAGAGAGGGCAAAATGCATACAGGAAATAAAAGCTGGGGCAGACTTGCCCTCTTTGTTGCTTTCAAGTGGCTGCCTTCCTGCCTGCAGTGGTTCAGATGCATTGGTAACACCACGGCAGCTCACCACAAAAACAACATTGTGGGGCTGCATAAAAACCAAAAATGAAATTAAATATCAAAAAAAAAAAAAAAATTGAAAAAGAAAAGAAGTTAAACATGTCTCTGAAGTAAATTCAGTGAAACACAAACCTAAAGTGCACGACCACAAGAAGAATTGTATCAAAGCTTTAAATCATTTTCCTTCCTTTCTAAGATGAAATGATCCCAAATAAGAATATGCTTGAGACTTTGGTCATTATATTTATCCCAAAGTGGTGCTTTTAATGAGGGATTCCAAGAGAAAATACCCTTCAGCTGTAAAGATTGCTGCAGATTTTGTTCTGGCATGACTCCGCAGCCGGACGCTCACGGATGAGCCGGAATGACAGGAACTCCTTTGGGGGGTTGGTTTTCGGAACCCAGAATCGTTTGGTTTGGGTTTTTTGGGGTTTTTTTCCCTGTATGAAAAGCCAGGGATGTGCTCAGACACAAGAGGACACATGTTGTGGTGACCCAGCCCGCGGGCCCAGGGGCCGAGTGGCACCGAGCGGAGCCGGGAGCGGCGGGAAACACTCCGGAGATTTCCTGGTGCCTCTCCAAGCTGCCAGAGGAGGTTTATATTAACATCACATGGCTGTCTCCAGCTGCATTTGTCAGCACAGCCCATTTGGAGACCCTGCCATGTTGGGCTGCACGAGGAGCAGCAGGGGGGGCAATAAAAAGAGCCACAAAAAAAAACCAAAAAAAAACCACCAGACAATAAATATCCAGGTTTTATCACGGGAATCTTCATCGACGACGCTCTCAAAGCCAGGCTTCTCCACCCCTGCCCGTGCAAAACCTTTGTAGAACCCGTGTGGGGCAGCTTTTTAAATGTTTTTTAACACATAGGAAAATAACACACCATAGAAAGCTGGCAGTGAGTTTGGCTCGAGGAGCCAAGTTGGGCATGGAAAAAAAAAAAAAAAAGACAATAAAAGGTCATTTCTAGCCAAGTTTTAAGTGAGTATACAATATATACCTTTTTTTTTCCCTGCTCCTTCCCTTAGTTCTTGGCCAACTTGGCTAGGAGCTTATGGAAAACACTGAAGTGGATTTATTATAATTGGGGGGGTTTTTCTCTTTTTTTGACGAAGCAGAAGTTCTTATAAACAATAATTGTGGCAAAAGAGTAACACAGACACGGTTTCTAAGGATGCACCATCAAAGAGAAAACCCTCTTTTCCACACCATTCCCTAAACAAGGTGAGTTCATGAGCACCAGTGATCTAATACTGCTGCTATTTATGATTCCTCCAATTCTTTATTATAAAGTCTGTCACACAGTGGAAAACTCCTGGTGCCAATCACATTTCCAAGCAGGTTAATTCAGCACCGTAAGTCAATTAGGATAACAAACCTGCTGGGGTGAGGGGGGTGAGGGAAGATTTCTTGGCATGAACATTTTCATCCTGCTCCTGGTGGGAAGGGATCAAACAGGAGACGTTTGGGTGGCTCCAAAGGCGCTCTCCCGACTCCCTGGTTGGGTGGCAGCTCCTCTCCGGGATGGCTCCGCTCTGTTTGTCCCAACACGTTCCCGGAGCCTCCTTCCTTGCCCCCAGGGATTCCAGGTGGATGCCTGACTGGGAGCCAGCTCCTTGCTGACGTGGGTTGCCTGTTTAACACCCTGCTCTGTCTCACACCGACCTGCACCTCGGGTTTGATTTGACTTTTTTTGGGAAGGCGGAGTTTCCAAATTCAATTAAAAGGAAATATGGGGGGTTTTTTTCACCTCTGAGACCTTAACTGGAGGCGTCTTCCTCACCTTCTAAATGCTGTGAGTGTTTTGTCTGTAGGATCAGAGACCTTCCATGACATTTGACCTGGAATCATGGGTAATTCCAGCTTGCAGCAGCCCCTGTGTGACCTGGACCAGATACTGCAGAGAAGGTGCCTGAACAGCAGCCTCCAAAATATCCAAGTGATCCTGGGATATTTTGGTGCAACAACACAGATTCTGGATGCAAGAGGACACAAGTTTTGAAAAGCTGACCACTTACCTGAGACAGAAAAGGAGTTGGGCATGACAAAAAAAGGGGAAAAAAAAATAACCCAAATAGATTTGAAATGAAAAGTGAAAAGGAGCAGGAACCACAAGCCTGAGATTAACAATAAGTTTATGAGCTGCAGGTTTGGGCTGTGTTTAAATAAGAGCAACAGTTTCCCCTCTGCATCTTGTCAATTAGAGGCAATTCCTTTTCAAATGGAGCAGATAATCCATTTTCCCATATTCTCTTGGAAACATCCTGCAAAGTTGAATGATTCTTTTTTTTTTTTAAAGCGAAGATTTTGCCAGATGCATTCAACTCTCTGCAGTTTTCTTTTGTCACTTCACAAAGTAAAAGTCTAAAGTTTCAAGAAAAAAAATAAATCCATTTCTATTTATGCTGCTGAAGGTGCAGCAATGGAAAAAAAGCAAAAGTCAGATGGAAAATAAACACGGTGAGTAACGCTGGAGTCACGCTGGATGAGGCTTGTGGGGACTTGATTTGTGACACACGCAGTGGAGAAGGGGCTGATGCCACCAGCTGCCCTGAGGGATTGTCTCTGGGGATGCACTGATGACGAGTTCACATGGAGAAATATCTACAGGTGAGGCCATGGGAACACAGTCTGAAAATCCAGTTATCCTGGGGCTTTGTCACCCTCATGTCCTAAAAAAACAATCCCAGAGAGTTGTTATGGTGCCCTCAGCATTTCACAGGGCACCACTAAACAGGCTGCCAAAGCTGGCCACGAAACTGCCCCAAAAACCAGAATACTGGGGTCTTGCTCATGCTCTTACCTGGTTGTTGTATGGTATGTTCAGGTTTTAATTGATGTGCATTAGAGGGGTTAAAGGTGAGGTTGCTAAAAATATTTAATGGCTGGGAAAAAAACATTTGACAGCTGGAATTGATGATCTCAAAGGTCTTTTCCAACCTTAACAATTCCACGATTCCATAAGACCACCTTCCACAGTGGATGGACCTTCTTGAAGAGACTCCACCCACCCACTCATCCCTTGGGCTGATGGGACTCAAAGTCTCACCCAAGTGTGAGACCCTCAAAGCATCAGTGGGACATCCCACCTGGCCAAAGAATTTGGAGGTTTCCAGCTTTTATGAGTCATTGTCAGCACAAAAGTAGCATTAGAAGGTTTTAGAGCACTGACATTCCTTCTTGAAGGCACTTGTTGGCAGTGCAGTGACTGTGCCATTTTTATGAACTCAGGCTGGGTTAGATCTGAATGCAAGATCACCAACTTTAGCACTTGTAAATCAGCCAACTGAGCTGAAAACATGAAGATCTGACCAACACCAGGAACTGGCAGCTGCTTGAAACTGCTGCACATCTTTGTGCCCAGTCTCGGCCAGTGACAAGCACAAAAGGATGGACCAAGCTTAGCTGAGGACAAAACATAATGAAACATCTCCATACCAAAGTAGTTACAGAGAGGTGGGTGACTAAATCCCATCCCTGATCTGGAGCTAAACCCGTGAGCAGGCCACAATGGATTGCAAATAGACACACACACCTTTGCCAGCGAGTTACACAACCTTGCTCTCCTCCAGCTCCCCAGAACGGGCACATTGCCAGGGCTGGCTGGTGCTCACGTGCTCTGATGGCATCAGCAGGAAGGTGCTCGTTTGTTCCAGACAGTGAAAGTAGCAGAGGCTGGAAGTTTCCCACGCAGGAATGAGACCGATCCATGTGACATCCCAAAATCCTCCTCCGCGCGCGTCATTGCAAGACGTGCCACTAAATTTAGCCCTTAAAAATGAGCTTGCAAGCAGAGAGCACAGCTTTGACCAAAAATTGGGGGTTCACCGGGAGGGGTGTTCATCGCTGGGACACTTTCCCCCAGCCTTTCCTCCTTGGGGTGAAGTTTCCACCTTCTGCACCCCAGAGATGAGCTTGGATTGGGTGTGAGGAAAGCAAGATGAAGTGAGAAGGGAGGTTTCCTTTCCCTTCCCCTCGATGAATCCCATCATCAGTGACTTACAAGCTTCGTGTCAAGCATTAGATGCCAACATGACCTTCTGCAACAGCTTGTTTGCCCTGGATGCTGAAGTCCTCTGGGATATGTGAAAATGGAGGGTCTGTGGTGCCGAGTGACCGGCACTGGGTCAGCTTTGCACAGGGACAACCACTGTAATCACTTGATGACCCCACATTCCAGCATCCCAGGCACATGGTGGTAAGGTCCATGGAGAGCCTGAAGTCTGGATGGAGGAAAGAGGCAAAGGGACAGACAGACAGACAGACATTGTTACCCTAATGAAAGTCTGCTGGTGAAAGGCAGGGATGGTGGCCTTTTTAGGATCAAGGCATCAAAAGCCAGGACACTTCAGAAGCCATGAGAACATCCCCAGTGCAGGCAGAGGGGAGGTGACAGCACAGGGCTCCCTCCAAGGGTGTTCCCATTCCCTGCCCTGTGACAGCCCCACCATTCCAGGCTCCTGACTCACTGGGACAGCTCAGGATGAGCAACCTCAGCACCCTCTCAGCAGAACCCTATTCCTGCCTCCCAAACATTTTGCCTGGGGAGGCAAAATGGAAACTGCTGCTTGACTTCAATAAAGGGAGCAAAGGCAAGGAGGTGATGGTCCACCCTCTCTCACCAATTTATCCCAAACCTGTTGATTAAATAGTGCTCCAACCAGAGGATAACTCGCTCAGAAAGGCTGGCTGAGATCCCTGTGCAGCTGAAAGCAACTTGAGACCAACCAGCCCAAGCAGAGCATTTTGTTGTTGTTTTCTAAAATAATAAGACCAGGAGATGGGCAAAGTTCCCCTCTTCACCTCAGGCCAACTTGCTCCTCTGCAATTCCTAATACTGGAAAGGAGGTGGGGGAATAAGAAACCTCAGAAAATAAAACTTATTTGGCACTGCTGATTAAAACCAGTTTGTGCTTCCTTGTGAAAATCTGGGTTTGCTCAAGGTTTGGGCAGTTCTGGTCTCTTCCATCCACATAAGGTTTGTTTTAATGACCATGGAGTTATATGAATCTATTAATTTTGTTCCTGAAGGTTTCATAATAACAATGCCTGTTTTTTTCATGCAGCACTTTCCAGCCACGTGTCTGGAAATGCATTGCAAATGGGCAATTAGTGTCAGCCCCGTGCTGGAGATGGAGAGACTCGGGCGGGATCCAGGCAAGATAATTCCTAAATAGTAATGCCAAAATCAGGCAGTTCAGTTTGATCTTCAAACAACTGGAGCTGGAGCCTGAAAAAACTCTCAAAGACAACTCAGCCAGGACAAACACAAAGCATTTCATTGAGTGGAAGGGGAAGGGCTGGCATGGGAATGACCAACACTGGACTCGATCACGGGGTGAGCCTGGCACGGCTCGTCCTGGGGTCACGGAGTCACTGCTCATCTGCCCTCACAGGGATGCCTGGATGGGGCTCCTGAGCCACTGCTGATGGATGGAGCACCCAAAAGGAGCACCCAGGAGCCCCGGAGAAGCCCTGGAGGTGCTGCCAGGCACGTGGGCTGGGTGATGGGAGCCAGGCGGGAGGAGCCGCCGGCAGGTCCGGGACGAGGGAGTGGGGGAAGACCCGAGCCAGCCCCAGAGCCAAGGGGGGATTTCAGGATTTCACTGCTCTGCTGAGCCCCAGAAACCTGCCCAGAGATCATCCTGCAGGAGCAACACGTGGCTCCAATTCTCTGATGCCAGGCCTCGCTGCGCCGGCACCCCCATAAATCCCGGAGCCCTGACACTGAGCTTTTCATCAGAGCTGGAGCGGGGAGGGGAGAGGGAGAGGAGGGAGGCTGGGCTGGGAGGAGATGGGTCTCAGCAGCAGGCACAGCTCCTCTTTCCTGCCCAATAATCCTCCCTGTGTTTCATCCACCAGCTGATAACATGTGGGTCCCATTTCCCCCCACCCTCCCCTCCTCTGAGCGAGATGGCAGATACAGCCACGCTGCCATCTGAGCCGTGTGTGCAACTGCTCCTGATTAAAGAAGAGAAAACCCTCCTGATGGGAGGCTTGAAAGGCTCGGGAGGGCTCCCCACACCAGCCCAGAGTGCCCTGGTGATGCTGGAGTGGGGCTCTGGTGACCATCCCTGAGCTGATCCCCTCCTGCCTTTGAGGTCCCAGAACGGGTTCTCTCCTGGGGTTCACTGGCACAGGGAAATTCCTGCCTTTTTACTGTTCTCCCAGTTCACTTTATCCACTGAAATAAATATTAAATGTATTAAGTCATTTCAGTGGTGTTAGGAACAAATTCATGCATTTTGAGATTTTTGGAGTGGGAGAGAGCATTTCATCCAAAATATCTTCCTGTGTGAAAACCCAGGAGTTTTGTTGGGTTTTTTTGTTTGTTTGTTTGTTTAAAAGAACAGAAACTGAAGCCAGAAAATCTGCAATTTGAAAATCAGAAGGGAGGGATTAATGAAGCAAAAATTCTCCCTCTTCCTTTCGGGGTGGGAATTAATAGGTGTTATTTGGGGCCTGATCAAGTGAAGTAACAGAGAAAGTATCAACTGAACTGGGGGTATTTCCAGCATCAGATATTTCTGCCTGATATTTTTGATACAAAAATGTAAAAAGCCCAAAACAGACCCGTCAGAAGATTTGTATTTCCTGAGAATTTCCATCCTACCTGTGCCAGGGGTGCTGCAGGCAGTGCCATCCCCCAGGCTCACACCAGGGGAAGTGTTGAAATCACATCACTGGAAATCAGCTGGAATTTCGAGGAGTGAGGGCAAAAGCAGGAGAGGCTCTTGGTCCTTGTGAGACTTTGAAGTTTCTCCTTCCTAAACAAAGAGAAAGACAATTAATTCAGGGCAGAGCTCAGGACCAGTTTTGTCCTGAAATCCCCTCCCAGCACCACCAATACCCTTTTCCTTCACACACTCATTTACTTCCAATTCACTGGAGAGGATGACAGGCTCAACTTCCAGCCTTTCTCTCCCGTGCCACCCATCAGGTCCTCCAGAGGTTTTCCCGTGGTTCAAGCTGCTTTTCTGCCCTTCCAGCTGTGGGATCAGCCTAAGGGGAGAGTGTTGCCTCCCATCCTCGTGCCAGGGCTCTGGGGCTCATCCTGGCACCCTACGGTTTGGGATGGTCCTGCACCAAATCTCAGTCAATTCAGTGAGAGAGCAGCTCCTCTGAAGCTGCCACAGACCAAAGCTTATGAGAAGTGAAGAGCAAAGAAAAGTTTAGAAGAGAAATACAAAGCAGAAAAGATATTGAGAAAGAGATGGTGAATGGCAAGAAGGGAGTTAATAAGAGCCAGAAACGCTAGTTGGAGAAATGTTGATTTTATTTAGCACTAATTGCAGGAAAGAGCCTATAAAGTGTGGTAAGAAATTATTAAGTACCACTATGCAATGCCAGCTTTGTGCCAGCCATCCCCACGAAACAGGTGTATTATTCCTAGTTCCCAAGGCATAAATAAATAATGGCTTTTCCACATCTTTTTTTATGATGGCATTTCATTATTTTTTACTGCCACATTGTTACAGCCCCAGTTCCTCCAGAGCAGGTTTGGGGATGGGGATCAGGGGGTGAGGGAACACGTGTGGCTGCGTGGGGATGTGTTTGGGGGCTGGCACGAGGGAGCCAGGGTTGAGGTGTCTCACCTGAAACCAGCTGGTGATCCAAGTCATCTTTCCTGAGGGAGGGATTACCCTGGGGCAGGAGGTTTTGGGGGATATCACCCCAGTCCAAGCACTGGTATCATCTCAGCCCAGTCAGGGACGCAGAGCTGGGGTTTCTATGACTCCTGTTTGCATGTCTTGAGATCAGAAAAGCAAAATAAAACCTGTATTCAGCCCACTTTTTGTTTTCTCCTCATGATCTGCCCATGTGCCCTTCCCAGCATTGTTACATCTGACATTGTCCAAGTTAAGAACGAGGACAGATCCCATTTTTCCCGAGCAATGTTGATACCAGCATTTTTGGGCTTGTTTTTCTCGAGTCTCTCACTACTCAGGAGGAGGCTCAGAGGGGAGATAAGCACTGGACTCATTTTCCAAGCAACCTCTTGCTTCAGCTGAGGCCACCAAAGATGCCGGGGGAAGCAATGATTCCCTGGTAATGCCTCAGTCCAAGCTGTGACCTGGAACCGTGGGCTCTGCAAATATGCATAAATCTTCAGCTCCCATCCAAATCACTGCAAGGTTCAGTGAAAACAGCAGAGCTGCCAGTGAATCCAAGCTAAGCTTTAATCCAGCTCTGGGGTGATTTATGAGCTCAGGTGGAAACCAGGAAACCCGATGGCTTCGGCCCCAAACTGTGCTTGTTGGCTGCCCCAGCCCAGGGGTGGCTGCTGTGGTGCTGAAAAACTGGGACAACCAGGGCACAGATGGAATCAAACAGCACAAAACCACCCCAACAACCACATCTGCAAACCTGGGTCACCTATCGAAATATTAGCACAGACAGTAGGAAACACAAAGGAAAGAGGAAAGAGAACACTTCAGTCCCACAACCCAGTTTTCCAGGGAACAATGGGTGTCATCTCAGCAGGGAAAGATGCTCCTGTTGTTGGCAAAGCTCCCCCCAGCCAGAAGCAGGGAACATTATCTCTACAGAGCATTAACAAGGCCATTCCCTCCCCTTTCTCTGCCCCTCATTATCCATCTATACTTTAGCTTGGAAAAAAATTAACCGCGATAACAATTAGCATAAGATCCCAGGTGACGTGACCAAGGAGACTTTTGACCAGCCTGGGTACCACCTCTGCATGTCCCCAGGAACCTCCAAATAGCCATTCTCATTCCAGCTGGGAATTCTGAGTCTCTTTAATGAGTTTAGCTGAGAAATTGGTGGGCGAGGGAGGGGATTTCTGCACCACGACCCGACCGTGCAGCCACACGGAGCTGCTCAGCTCCGAGCCTGTTCCCAGCCCAGGGCTCACAGCTGCAACATCTGTATCTCATCCCCATGCCAAGTTCCTCCTTTTTCCAACACTCCCGCTCCACGTGCATGTAAATCTCCAAAGGGAAACTCTGCCTCACGGGTTTGCCCACGGAGGTGATGCTGGGCAGTGGTTACAGCAACGCCCATGACTCGGCCAGCCCAGACCCTCCAGGGCACTGGGAACCCACCAGCCCCGGCCCCCAGACTGCCCTGAGCTAATAAACCCCACCACAGACAGTTTACAACACCCCCCAGGTGTTTGGGTGACGAGGCAGTGAGCAATGGGTCCCTTGGTCGGTGATTTTGGGGGACTGGAGAGGGCGATGCCATGTGTGCCCAGGCTGGTTCAGCACAGCCAGGGCTGGAGCAAAGGGCATGTGCTGAGTCAGGACAGAGAGACCCAGAGAAATGGGGGTGCCAGGGGTGGGACAAACTGAATTTCTCCTTCCTGGCTGAACAGCACCAGAGTCACAAACTCTCCTCGCTACTTCCAAGTGTTCCAGTTACAGTTTTCTCCCATTTCTTTGTGCTGAGGGTGCACGACCACTGTCCCAACAGCAAAGCTGGAAAACCAAACCATTTCAGCTGGAAAAACCTTTAAGATCGAGTCCAACCATCGACCCAGCACTGCCAGGGCCACCACTAAACCATATCCCCAAGTGCCACATCTACACATCTCTTAAATCCCTCCAGGGATGTTGATTCCACCACTGCCCTGGGCAGCCTGTCCCAATCCTTGAATCTTGTACCTGGCACGGGGCTACCAAAGCCAATATTGCAGGATTTGACACAGATTTTGAGTGTGTCACCACGTAAGGATCTAGGCAGATATCACCTAGAGCTGAAGGCAGGCTTTTCCTAACTCTCCCATCCCTGCTGGGCACTGTGCCTGCCTTCAGGTGGGTGAGCTGGAGATGCTCAGGAAAACATCTCCAGTGCTGAATGGGTTTAATTCACCACAAAAGTAAAAAACTAACCACTTTAAATGTACCACATCAATTCTGCAGGCAGACAGGACCAAAGGCAGTCTCCTGATTTTTTTATGGCTATTTCTCATCCCTGAAAGGACAAGTGTGACCTGGACAAAGGAGTCACAGAAAAGCCTCCTGACCCCAGATCTCTCTGTTAAAGCCTAACATGTCTGTCCCAGTCCAATCAAGCTTCTTCTTGAGATGAATATTATCAAAAAAATAATCCAGAGGGTTCATTCTTCCCTCTCTATCAGAGCAAACGCTGAGAGATTCCCAGCTCTCCTCACAGGAAAAAGCAAACCTGCACTGAAAGGGTTTCTGCAGGACTTGCCTTGTAAAAGAAACGAGATTAGTAACAAGCTTTTGCCTCTTTTTTTTTTTTTAATTTCAAGTGAAAGAAAGAGTGTGACAAGGAACTAGGAGTCTGTCTGCCATGGAATATTCCTGCACTACTCGGGGCTGTGGTTTATTTTACTAGTGGTGACTAGTTCAAGCCACATTTAGTCAATAAATATGAGATATGAGGTCACCCCGCCATCGAGCTGTTACCCTGTCTACATATTTCACAGCTGGGCAGTAACCTTTTAACTGGCGTCTACCTCGGTGGGGAGTCTCCATAAAAAAAGAGCCAGGATCCATTGGTCGTGGTGGGGGATCAGGGCCATTCCTGAGCAGCCTGAGTGGGAGAAAGGGAGAGCTCAGAGCTTTGCTTTTCCCTTCCTTTCCCTGGTTTCCGGTGGCACAGCATCCAGCCAGAGCTGGAGGCTCCGAGCTGCCCCACAGATAACAGGCAATGAGGCAGCACATCCCACATCCCAAGGTTTTACAGTAAGTTTCCCCATCTTTCCTATAGAATTGGTTCAAAAGACAAATTTCCTCCAGTTTTCAAACCCATCAAGTCAAACATTTATTTCCTAGGGGTAAATTTCTCCTTTTTTACATAAACTTCTTTAAAAGTTTTTTTCCAAGTCTGTATCTTCTCCTTACTGCCTTTGCTTTGCTTTGGGATGAGGAGGACACTTCCCTGGTTTCTGAGCTGGTAACTAAGTCTGGTTAAGGTGGAGCATCCCTGAGTCCAACATCAAACCTTTCACCCCAGCAAACTTCCTGTGATGGTCCCAAGTGTAACTGGGAATAGATGGTGCAGCCCCAGCCCTGCCCCTGCCCTGATTTGAAATCTCCAAGGGTTCAAAGCAAGGAGATCTCAGGGTGTTTTTCCTGCAGCCCGACCTTACAGTCCCTCCAAGGCCTCCAAGATGGGGGCAGCCACCCATGAGCAAGTGCTGAACACAAGAAGGGACCTGGGTCAAATCACCTGGCCTGGCTCCAGAAAGGTGTTCAGGTCCCAAAACAGCACTGGGATGAATGGGTGGATTTGGTGGGAACTGTCAGGGAAGACAAAGCAAACCCAGGAGTGAGAGGCCACGGCAGGGAACCAGCTGTGGGCCAGATTGTGCCCTGTTGCTTTCTGTCAGCTTTGCACCAGCTCTGCCCACCCTGCGGGTGTGCCAGGAGCTCAGCTGGCCTCGGCCTTCCCTGCCAGCCCCTGGACCTGCAGCCCCGGCAGCACAGCCAGGGCAGGGGAGATGGAGGGGAGATGGAGGGGAGATGGAGGGGAGATGATGGAGGGGAGATGATGGAGGGGAGATGACGGAGGGGAGGTGACGGAGGGGAGATGGAGGGTAAGTGAAGGGGAGATGGAGGGGAGGTGAAGGGGAGGTGAAGGGCAGATGGAGGGGAGATGGAGGGGAGATGATGGAGGGGAGATGATGGAGGGGAGATGATGGAGGGGAGGTGATGGAGGGGAGGTGATGGAGGGGAGGTGACGGAGGGGAGATGATGGAGGGGAGATGATGGAGGGGAGGTGATGGAGGGGAGGTGACGGAGGGGAGATGATGGAGGGGAGATGGAGGGGAGATGATGGAGGGGAGATGACGGAGGGGAGATGACGGAGGGGAGATGGAGGGGAGATGAAGCGGAGATGTGCCCTCCCTGCAGAGCGAGGTGCTCACAGTCCCTTCCCCGCCCTGCCCCGTGTCCAAGGGGAGAGCCAGGGAAGCAGCAGCCCAGAGCTGCTGGCAGGGCTGTGGCAGTGGCCGTGGTGAGGGTCTGGCTCCTGCCCTCTGGCACACTGGGAATATCCAGCCTGGCTCTCCCATCCCAACGTCACGGCTCAGCACCGGCAGACGCGGCTCCGGCGCCGGGAAACGGGGCTGACTCCTCCCAGCTCAGCTGGAGCCTCCAAAATCAGAACCTCTGCTGTCAGCTGCCTTTTATAGGGCTATAAAACCCCGAGTTCATGCACGAGCCTGTCAGACCTTGGCCGGCATCGGCCCCTGCCACCTCCATCCCACCTCCCTGGCTCCCACACACGTGTGGTCCCTGCTCCCTCCGTCTCCAGAACCAGCACCTGAGGGCCAGGACCCCTCAGATGGACATGGAAAGATGGAATTGCAGCAATGCCAGCTCAGATGGACAAGCCTGAGCAAAACAGGTACGAGCAAGGGAACGAAACGCCCCTCATTTGGAGCCCCCCATCCCAGTGATGCTCCGTGGCAAAAAAACCACCCCTGCACCATCAGCACGGGGCTGCAGCTGGACACCCACCCACCAAAGCCTCCCCATCACCCACCTCCACCCCCCCCAGCCCCTCGTGGCAGGATGGGAGCAGGGGGTTGTGTCACACGCCACTATCAGACACCACTAATAACGGGGACACTCGTAATGCTGGGCCTGGCGACAAGAACAACATGAACCAACCCTGCACCAACCCTGCACCCACCCACTGAGAGCACGGCGTGTGTCACACTCCTCTGTGTCATGGCTGCAAAAATATCCCTGCTGACGGCCTCCTTTTTTTTTCCCCCCTTTTCTTTTCGTATTTATTTATATTTTCGAAGGCCCGGCCCGGCCAGGTGGGAAAAGTTTGCATCAGAGCCGGAGCTGAGGCCGGTGACGGGTGTCTGCTTGTTTTACGTTAAACGGGAGGAAAAGGGAAAGAAAAAAAAAAAAGGAAAAAAGCAAGTTTGCAATTACATGTTCTCTGCTGAGAGGTGTGGCACTGGCACAGTCTGGGCTCGGCCCAAACCACACAGAGAGATGCTCAGGGAGGAGGGAAAAGCACAAACAGGGGCAGCTGCAGCCGAGATTTTATGGGAGAGAAGGGATTAGAAGCTCATTGACAGGCGCTAAAGAAGAATTTCGTCCTCCTGAGGGCTTCCCCTCCGTGTCAGTCACTGTGCCCAAAGCTGTGGGAGAAGTTGGCAGCCCTGGGTGACAGAGTTTGGTCCCTGTCTGGATCCAGGGGCACCTGCTCTGGGAGCTCAGGGGCTGGCACTGGGGACCACCCTCACCAGCAGGTCCCCATCAGAGCCTAAAACTGCATCAGCCTCATCTGGCCCAAACCAGCACCACATTGAGGTCCATCCCCTGCACAAACACTTCTCCTGCCCCTGCACTGCCTGCAATTCTTTTTTCTTTCAAGAAATAGCAGCGTTGAGGTTATATTTAAATCACCAATACAGAGTTAGCTTCTGAGCTAAGGCATCCCCAAACAGGGCAGCTGGGAGAGAGGCTTATTTGCACAACAGCCAAGAGCAAACAAGTCAAATAATGGGTCAAATCACAGGCATAAGGGGAATTTTGCCACTGGAGAATCAGGGCTGAAGGAATCAGCAGGCTGGGAAAAAATGGAAGTGCGGTGGGGAGAAAAAAACTTCTTGGTAAAATAAAGGATTAATCCCTCTATGTTTGCCATGTTTTACCTTCCAAAAATCACTTCAAATTTACAATTTAAAAGGCCAATTGCATTTGAACAGGACCCTCTTCACTCTGGAGATGAGTTGGAGCACAGCAATGGAGGTGTGTGCAGCTGGGGAGGCTTCATCCCTATTCCCTAAAAATTCCTTGCCCTTCTGGGGAAAATTGTTCCTTCCTAAACCAGCACAGAGTGGCTTTGTGTTTCTAGAATATTGTATATAATTGTCTTTCATAAACCTTCCCAGAATTAGTCACCCATTTTTTCGTCTTTTCCTTCTGCACAAGTTTCTAGATTCCCAGAAAATTTGGACTTCCTCCCTTCCTTCATCTCATTCCTCAGCCATTTGGGCTTCACACCATCACACCATCATTCCCACAAACACGGATGGCCCAGGTACAAGAATGTCCTTTCCTCTGCTGATGTAGAAAACACACTTGAAATTAATGGCTGAAACAGTCCCAGCTCAAATTATCATATTTTGCTGCGTTGGGTTTTGAGGTTTGCTCGGGTTTCTTTAATCAGACAAAGGCAGAGCCACACAACAACCACCCAAAAGCACTTCAGGGATGTTGGAGCACTCGTGTCACCGCGTGGGATGTGCCAAGCCACAGGAGGTGTGATATGGCCACAGCTCCACTCCCTGTGGAAACCCATCCCTGAACCCTCTGGAGCTGTGGCTGGAGCCCAGCCCCACCAGAACACTTCAGTTCTCAAAGTCAACATGACTTTGTCTTGCCCAACGAGGCGTAAAACATCACGAGCTGGACAGTTTTGTCCCTGCCATCACTTCAGTCTAATTTAGTCCTGCAGAAAAGTAGGTTTGGAGCTATTTTTGATTCTTTTTCCAGGATGGGAAAAGGATAATAACAATCCAATGGGAGGCCCTGAGCTTAAAACCTCTCCCTTAATTT